ATTTGTATGACTTTTTAGGGAGTTTCCAGTCTGTTGCGTTGTGATTATTGGGTCGCAGACTGAAATGTTTGGGAAAATCTAAAGTAAAGAACTCTCTGACTTTTTTAAGCTATTCAAAATCAACTAATATTTAACAAACAGCATTGACTGTTAATGAGGGAAAAGGCAAGTATAATTAGACCAAGCATTACTTTAAATATATCTACTTCAATGTCCATATTATAGAAAATGAAATTATTATTTTTGATGATTCAGTTTGCATCAAGATTGTGTTGCCTAAAAGAGAAACTAGACATTGTTATGAAGTGCCAGTCAGTGGGTTCAGTCATCACACTATCTCTTTGTAAGACGATACACCGAGCTCTGAGGTTATTTTAGGGTTCACAGTCACATCTAAGGAGCTAAAGGACCTTTTTTTTTTTCCTTGGTATGTCAGAACTGAAGAATCTTTTCAAGATCAAAGCATGGAGATCAAACACAGTGCAACCGTAGACAGAACGCAGATTGTATGGATCTCAATCAATGTCTGAGCCCAAAATGAGCAGAATTGCCAAGCGGAGTGGCTGAGTTATGTATACAAGCTGTCACCCTAGGTACTGCCGTCCACCTTTAGGGCTGTGATACAGGAAAACAGGTTGGTTATACTCTAGACCCTTTGTTCCCGGAGGACAATCAAACACAATTTGTAAGGGGTGACAGCAATCAGGCAACGGTGAGAAAAGACAAAACAGTAAATAACTTTAAAAAACAAAACAACTTCATCCCAAACTCCATACATAAAGCTTTATATGGACTTTTTCTGTTTAGCTTTTTCCAAAACATTAAAACTTAAGGCATGCTTAGTTGTTGAGTGAAAAATGCAGACCAAGAGAACCAGACATTTATATCTAAGAGACCCCTGAGATTTTACTGTTGGACATTTTCAGAGAAAGCAGATCACTGTCTGTCATTTAATATAGAGTGTAAAGTAAAACTGGTCATTGTGAAAAAGACAAAAGCAAACTGATCATAACCAGGCATTTTCATTTTGCATTTATTTCTTTGTATCCTTGTTAAAATGAAGGATATTGGTACGTGTATATTAAAAAGCAAAATGTTTTGATTAATACATTTTTGATTTACAGATGAACAGTCAAATAAGTCAGAAACAAGACTTACCGTACTTGAAATTTGATAAATTAAAAGCCACAAAGTATAATACATTTTCTGAAGTTTAATGAGACAGAATAAAACAAAGGAGCACTTTATGATGAAGTTAGAGGAAAATAAAGTGCGGGTTTTAAATGTTTTAATAAGAGGTTAAATCCAACAAAAGTTGCATGCATTTGTATTCATCCTCTACTCTAATATCCCTAAAGGAAATCAGCGCATCTCTAAAGCTATCTGCTGAAATGGAAATATTTAGACAAGCTTCAAACTACAAATAGGAGGCTTTCCATCCAACTTAAATGCTCAGGAGGATATGGATGCATTAAAACTGGCAGTTCTCGTTCAAATTTATAAGGTGGAGCTGGGTGAGGAAAGTGTTTCATAATAAATTAACTTTATTGATCAAACATTGGAGACATTTACCTCTGCATTTTAACCCATCCTCTTGGGGAGCAGTTGGCTCCCATGCTGTGGTGCCAGAGGAGCAGTGTGGGGTTCAGGGTCTCCCCAGGGACCCAGAGTACAAGCAGTGGGATCAAACTGGGTACTTGCAACCTTCTCAGAGCACAAGTGGACTGCTCTAACCACTAGACATAGTCCAAGAACATAAAGAAACAACAAAGGAAATTGAAAGCATAATAATTTAATCTTTAAAAGTTTTAGCTGCAACTTTTTCATCTAAATAATTAGGTTTTCAAAAATTATATATGTACAGAAGGTGTAGAGGGGTAAAAAAAAGTATTGATTTTACTGGAATAAATATTAAATAAATTACTGTGTTTTTAGATTGTGGCAGATCCAAAATATATTAATATTTACTTCTAGTAAGAATGCAATGTCGACATAAAAGGGCTGGGAAAAGCAGGCTGACCTCATGTGAGGCAGAGCTCAGGTGGAAGGAGTTAAAGCTGTTGCTATTATTTTGTTTATAGTAAGAAAGCCAATAAGGCCAAACAGCCTCTTTAGACTTTGGAAGTGCAGGTTGCATAACCCCTGATCTGACAGATGAGAACTGTGGTTATGTCTCAATGTAGTTGAAGCCAAAAGTGATACACACAGATTTTCTAAACCTTGTTAATGAAAAACTGTAAAGGTAAGAAATGAAACTGGTTGGTTTATTTGCTAGTGTTTATTATTAGGAGAAATTGATTTAATATTATGTCTTTAAGACAGACCATACCAGCAGCCAGCGCAAATTCTACAGGGACTGGACCTTGTTAGCCCCTGTCTAGAACTGGCCACATGGCAACTATGGAGGAGCTGCAAAAATCCATCACTCAGATGGGAAAATCTGCCGATAAAAGAAATTATTAGTTAAGAATGAATTTGAGCATCCATAATTGGGAAAAAGTGGACAATGTTACCTTAGAGATTGCTTCACTCTAACTTCCCAGTTCCAAGGGTCATGGAGAACAGGGGTAGAACCACATTTAAGATGTTCTAATGGAGCTTATTGGTAAATAGTAATGGATGGCTGTTGAGGTTGAGAAAAGTCTCTTCTTTTACCTCAGTTTCATCCTTACCAGAGGCCCTTTTAACGTGAAAGGGAAGTGGTAAAAATATTATCCTGCAGCTACATTCCTCCTGTTACCCTGACTGATCTGTCGAAAAGACTTCTTTGATGCTAAGAACTGCCAAACCAGCTTCCTACATTTAAACATTGAAGAAAGCACTCAAAACAAATGGCTGCCAATCAAACGTAATGTAGTCTGGCCTAAAGCAGGGAGCGCGTAGCATACTTGCTCAGCACTGATGGAAATAAAGTAAGTCTGATGTCTGAAAAGCCCTGACTGAGCTATTAAACAGCAGGGAGTAGAGTCAAATCTAAGTGGTCCATGTTTATACAAATATGCATGTAAAAAATGCAAAATTTGGGCTGTTAAGCAGGCGATTCAGTGAACAACGCACCTTCACTGCCCTAATAAGTCCCACTAGGTTACTAAACCAAAACCTGTTCCTGTAATATTCAGTTACTGTACAGTAAAAGCATTAGGGGTTCTTTTCTCTAGCTGGCTTGCCAAAGTGTGTTGGACACAGAAAAATTACACCGGAAAAAAGCTAAACATAAAAAATGATAAATAATCAAGTAAAATATTTAAAGAACATGCATGCATTACTTTTAGACTACAAGTTAAAGTTTTTAGCTCTTAATAATAAGAAATGTGTATGTATTGTTAAGACCATTACAAGGAGTAAGATAAGTCGATTTGATCATGAACAAGCATTTGTTTTTCATTTATTGTATATATATATATATATATATATATA